CCCATAATCCAAAAAAACCCACCTTCCTCACAGTGCAATTACTCTGTTTGTTAAGACATTTACACGAAACATGAAAATTAATGTTGAGTGCCTGCTCTAAATCAGGCATAGATGGTATCTGAATGAACCTAGGCCTTCCACAGCACATGACTGGTGAAGCAAAGGACTACTGGCCACGCTGGTCAGATCTGCACAAGCAGAAGTTATGAAGCCACTCAAAATGGCTTCATAAAGTAGCTGCCTAGTGGTTTGGAGAAGCTGGGGAGCAGCAATAGGTGGCCAAGATCACATCAAGAACTTCACATATTTCTTCAGAGCCTGGTATGCACCAATACATTGTAATCAAAGAACCTTTTTTAAAAGCGCCTCAAAACACTATAAAGCATAGGTCTCACAGTTTAAAGACATGGAAGGGAATTATACAAAGTTCTGATTATTTATCACATGCCTTTCTGTGATCAGACATAAGTTTAGGTTCACATTTGGGGCAAGACAGTAAGGACTTGTGCCCAACCAAACTGTAACTTTAAACAGGCATAGGCCCTTACAAGGGCAGATGGAGTGGACCATGTACCTGAGCAGACCACAAAAACCTAATGACTTTCTCCTTGCAAAAGTGATGACACACATTCCGCAGACAATCTTGTCTGAATACACTTGCACAAAAGACTCTATTTATATAATCTCGTGTTAAAATGATACATTTTAAAGAACTAAGAAAGGTGTCAATAGGAAAACTGGCCAATGTGGAGGACAGCTCTATGTCCTTATGGATGAAAAACCAGAAGTGAACAGACAAGTGGCAGATCTTAAGCATGTGCAGTGGAAGAAGTGAACAATAATATCCACATCCTCAAAATGAAATCAGCAATTTTTCTTTTCATTCCAGTTTGCAACACTTCCCAGTTCATGCCCACCTACAGTGCCACTTTCCTACCCTGCTCACCTGATTAGACAACTGGTTAAACCAAGCTTTAGCCCTACCAGCATTTCAGAAAGGACAGGAGGTGCATACAAAATAAGGAAACTATTTTGCTGAATACTGTTGAAGGTAACTAAGAACTTCTGGACAGGAGTAATAAGCCTTACATTACTGAGTCACTTCCTCCAGTTTGGTTTGGTTTCTGAATTTTAGAAATGTACTTTAAACAATTCTGGGAGTTCAGGAAACATCCCCTGCATAATGAAGAGGAATAAGATGGAAGCAAGCTAATAAGGCATCCACTTCCCCCAGTCAGAGAAGACGGAACAGGGTTATTTCCTTCAAAATCTGTTGTACTGAAATCCCTTCGAATTAAAAATCCCTATAGAATTAAAAGAGATCCTAAGTGAGACTTTCACACTTATAAATAGGATTAGTTTTAACAATACTGACAAAAATATGTATTTTTAATTTTAAATGAAGTTAATAACTTTACCATAGTAGTATTTCCTCCAGAAAGGAAGAGTGGATTTTTCCCATGAGTAGTACCATGACCATTCTTTCCATGGGAAGTTCCAGATGTTAGACTAACTTTAGCCAAAAGTGACTAGCCAGGCTAGACAGAACAATCTATTAAACACCTTTGACAGAATAAAGCAAGCAAGTCTGTCAATGGGAAAAATTCTTCTCTAATTCATCTCTGACTCGTAACTAGTGATGATTTTCAAAGTGAAAATGACTGTAAACACCCTGGAACCAGTTGGCAAGTTCACACCAGATGTGTACGCATGCAGAATTGTCATGCCATCAGCAGCATTCTCTTTTCCAGTTTACAGAATCACCCTAGGCTCTGGAGTATAAAACAATAGGAAAGTTGCAGATGTGAAATGCTATTAACATTGTCTGTTTAGTATATCAACAGATCCTAAACTAACCTCTGAAGTTCAGGCCTGTGGTGGCTGAGCAAGACCACTCCAACATCAGCTTTATTTGTATTATCTCCATGAAATAACCAAACAAGCTTTGCAGATAAAAGGCAACAGAATGTAACATTACAGTTCCCCTTTTGGAGAGAGGCAACCTACTGATTTTACTTTCAATGTGATGCTTCCTTGCCAAGAGACTATGTTTACTAAATGAGAAAGTGAGACGCAAAGCACTTCTGATGCAAAGGACAAAGAGAACTTGGCTGATCTGCTCATCACCTGTAGGAAACTCCACAGACCAGTGCTGACTGGATCTGTGCAGTCTTTAACATGGCACACCATTTTCAACCCAGCTCAAAGCAGCTTTTTAGGCAAGGCCAGTGTTTACTGTCAATAAGGACAAAGTGTCCTGCCTCAGGAGGAAGTGTCCACAGTCACAGCTGTAAGTTTGCACTGCAAGGGAAGCCCATATTGCACTACTTTGTTCAGGATGTAAAAGTGAAAAGCCTACCCTAACCTAAGTTACAGATAATTAGATGCAATACAGCTGTAAGAAAAAAAAGAGATGGAAAGTCCTAAGGAAGCAATATCTAAAGAGACAGTAGTTATCAAAGACAACGTATTTATCTGTCACAGAGTGCAATTAAACACTGTAGATGGCATAAAGGCTACTCATGATCCCTTCCATTGTAAACTGGCATAATGTGTCATGAAAATGTTCCACCGAAGTTCCCCAATGGGTGGCAAATTAATCCTGCCAGGGAAAAATTCACTTTCTTCAGAGACTTCTCTTTCTCACTGAGATTCCCAGACAAGGTCTTTCCCCTTCACCATCCCCTGCCAGTGTTCCACCCGCAGAGCAGGAGTCTCCATTCCACAACGAAAACGCAAACGGGCCGCAGCCGGTCCTGCTGTTGCAAGGTTCAGAGCTGTCACTACCCCACCCGCTCCGACTCTCTCTCCCTTACAGACTGCCCTTCAGCCTTAACCCCACACCTAGCACGGCCTCAGGACAAGAAAGCGCCTGTCCAGCCCTCGGTGACCCCCTTCTAGCTCTGGGTCGGCCCCGTCAGCTCCCCTCGGCCGGCTCGAGGGCAGTGTGGAGGAGACAGGCCTGGCCCCCGCTCGGAGCTGAGCCCACGGGCCTACCTGCTTCTGGACGTCGGCATCGCTAAGCGCCATGGTGGCGGCGGTGGTGGTGGTGACAGGACTCGAGCGAAGGTAGCTGAGGCCCTCGGCGACCGCGAGAGGAATCAAATCCGGTTCGGGTCACAGCCTGCGCTGCAGTCGCTGTGTCACACGACCCCGCCCACTTGCTCCTCCTAGCCAATAGAAACCTGAGCTCTGGCTGGCGTCACGGGGTGCTATACTGCCATCTAGTGGTGGGGACAGGACTTGCTTTAGCGCCCTTCATGAGGGGCGGGGGGGAGGTTCCTGCCTCCCCTGCCCGGGACAGAGCCCGCCCGGCGGGCGGGGCGTCCTCGCCTCCCTCCCTTCTTCCCCTGGGGCAGTGCCCTCCGAAGCCGAGCTGGAGCGAGGTTGCAGGCTCTGTCCGGTTCTGTGCCGCACAGGCGGGAGCGAGCCTTCGAGTGAGGACACAGAGGCTGGGCTGTCGGAGTTCAGGGGTGCTGCGTGACTGGGGTGAAATAATCCTTCCCTTGCGCGTAGTGCTTTAAAGGTGCTGGTGGGAATGTTTTCGGTTTCAGAGAGCTGAGCTCTTTCCCAGGAAGGCTGCAATGTGTTTAGCTCGCCGTGGGGAGAAGCTAAATGTGGAGAGATACGTGTTTCTAAGGACTTAAAGTAGATTTCTTCTTGGAAATACTTTGGCCTCCGCATCACAGGGTGGTTTGATATCCCAAGGTCACTTTTAGCTGTCAGTTGTGTAAAGCTCTGAAATGCTGTTTATAAAATCTCCCTGATTTTCCAGGTTTGGGCTGGCAGTGAAGAATTACATTGTCTTTTGAACCCAAGATGCAATGCGGGGTACCATTAAGGGGCTCAAAGAGAAAAGCAGGCCAAAGGAAAGAGGTGGCAGAGGTGAGAGGAGGCCTTGCAGCAGAGAGGCTGGAGGTCACTGGCTGTCAGGGAGGGACAGTGTAAGGGGAGTCCTGTGATGGGCCCCTCAGGTTGGTTGTACTTTTATGATGAACAGCCATGGCAGCAGCACTCCACTGCAGGAATACATGGTGGGGACTCAGAGCATTATTAGTATTACCCTTCTGTGGTGTGCTGATTATTGAGGAGTTATGTTACTGCTTCCACTGGGTACTTTTTTATGGCAAAATTTGAAGTTATCTTCATAACCTATAATATTTATTCTAGCTGCCAGGACTTCCATTCTGCAGGTATATTTAGTGGCAAAAAAAATTTAGACCTGTTCCTTACAAAGCAGTGTCAAATGTGGTATTTGTCATATCCATGCTTCTTCCTGGCTTATTTTGAATTTGTTGATTTTTACTGAGCCTTTTTATTTTTAACTATGTGAAAAAGCTTTCTGTAAAATACAAATGCAACTTTTTCTCCCCCTGGTATTGCAGTAATGTTACAACGCAGGTTATCAACTGCATTGATATTTTGTATCTTGGTACCACTTTACTCTTACCTAGGGCAGGAGCTAAATAATATTTAAACAACTAGAACTATCATACAATCATAGAATGGTTTGGGTTGGAAGAGACCTTAAAGACCATTTAGTTCCAAGCCCCCTGCCACGAGCAGGGACACTTTCCAGTAGATCAGGATACTCAAAGCCCCGTCCAACCTGGCCTTGAACACCGCCAGGGATGGGGCAGCCACAGCTTCTCTGGGCAGCCTATTTAGTGTCTCACCACCCCGAACATACTCCATCTTGCTTCCTTTCGTGCAGCGTGGGTTCTCCATGACCCTCAAGCCCTAAGGGAAGCTATCTACCACCCGCTCCTTTCCCTAAAACCAGCGAGCAGAACGGGACGGTGTTCGCACATTTGCGTTCATCTTGTTGCAACCAGGCCGATGGCACCCTCCCCTCCGTGTTGGGGGCGGGAAGTCACGTGGAGGGAGTGTCGTGCTGCCGCGCCATGACGTATGCCGCCGCCGCCACCTCCCCCCCACCGTTCGCTTTCCCCTCGCTCCCCGCCCCTCCATCATGGCGGCGGCGGCGGCAAATTAGGGCAGAGCTCGCATTGCCGGGCGCGCGCCCACCACCCCCGGCGGACCGACCCGGAGCAGCGCCGCTCCTCGCCCGGCCTGCCCAGCCCCCCCCTTCCCCGTCCTGCTCCCCGCCCCGCCGCGCTCGCAGGTGAGGAAACGGGTGGGAGCGGGCGGGAGAGCCGCTTCTTTATTTCTTCGTTTATGTGTTTATCTATCGATGTTCCTTATCGGTCTATGTATTCATGTATTTAATTCCTCCCGTGTCCCCGTTCCCGCCCCGCCGGCCGGCATTTGGGTGAGGGGGAGCGGGCACCGTGCGCGCCTCCGCGTGCGCGCCGCCTGCGAGGGGATGGTGGTGGGGAGAGCCGGCCGCGCTCGGTGGCGGGAGAACTTAGCCGCGGGGGGGGGGCGGGGCGCAGCGGGGTTACGCCCCCTCGGCTGCCGGTGCCCCCTCCCGCCCCCGCCGTGGCGGCGGCTGAAGGACTCGTTCCTCACGTCCCGTCCCGCTGAGGGGGCGGCCGGGCCCCGAGGTGTGGGAGCAGAAGGGGCTGTCGCCCCCTCCGGCCCCCGGCAGCTCCTGAAGGGCGGCGGCAAGGAGAGCCGGCGGCTCCTCCGCTGCAGGGGCTGCGGCCTGCCCACACCTGCCGCTGTAGCGCTGTGACTCCCCCGCGGACCCCGCCGGCTGACTCATGCCGGCTTTTTGCTCCTTGCCGGTTCTGCCCGGATATAAATATCTCATTCATCGCCGTAGTAACTGAGTAGCTTACGCTGCGCTCTCGCAGGCTGCTCGTCTGCTCCTGCTCTGTGTTCGTCTGGCGCCGCTGGAACTTGGAGCGAGAGCAGGGCTTTTGTCTCACCTGCCTGTCCTCTTGGTCGCTTTCAAAGCCACGTAGCGCTTGGCACGTTAAAGTGAATGAAAGCTTATTAATGAAAGCTGGGCTAGTCATGATTTAATATTGTGGTAAGGCGGTTTAAAGCCGGAAAGGATTGAGAACCTTTGTAGCAGATAACTCGTGCGGGTTTTGTTTTTCTTCTTAGAAGAAAAAAACCCCAAACCATTTGCCTAGAATGCTCACTTAATTAAATCCCCCCCTAAGACCAACTAAAACCTCTGCCCAGATAAGCAACTATTGTATTTTCTGGTACTTCTATCCCTTCAGTGCCACTAGAGGATCAGTAATGGATGCAATATTGATTTATTTCCAGTAGGAGCTGACATGTTTTAACTCAGTAATTCTCAGTTTATTAAAAACAATCTCTTAGTCATACTCTCGTATCTTGTTGGAAAAGTATTCTAAAGAATTTATCTCCCAACTTGATCGCAGTCTGTTGCTTTGGAAAGTCCTACCTGTTACATGAAGTGTTTTCAGAGGCAAACCGCTCCAGGTTAAACCAGTCTGCACATGGAAGTCTCACCCCAAATTCCTACACAAGCTTTCTGGTAAGGTTGCAGAGTGATTGAATATTTTCCATCTTGTTGATACGGGGTGTGGTTTTGTAGACCTGCAACTCCTTGAAATTCAGTACATTTGGGTAAATAAGGCTGCAGATTAGAGTTGTGAGTGGTTGCCTGTTGCAGGGATTGGTAGCAGGAGGATGACCCAAACCTGTGAATATATCGGTGGCATATTGCCCTAAAAACGATTTGAACTCTGGTGCTACTGTTTTGTTGCCTCACTAAATCTCCCTTTCTGTGCTTGGGTGAACACTTGGTGACTGAGACCAGACTTTGAAACAATTCTCCAGCAGCAGGAAGTATTCTGCTAACACCACTGTCTAGGATGGTTAAGTTTGTAGCCAGTAAGTGAGGCTTGATACCCCGGACTGTAGATTGGAACTGCATGCACCCCTAGATTGACTCCTTTTTTCAAGCAGAAATTAACTGTGGCCATGATGGTGGTATTTATAAAAAGAAGGCAATCTGTGGCAGGTGAGGGACAGTTTCTGCACGTGTGTTTTTAGTGCATTAGAAATCAGTAGCAATACTGATCACCCACTGCTTTGTTTAGAAACATGCAGCATAATACTTCATAAGGCTTCATCTCTAAATGCAAAAGACAGTCAGACTTGCAACAGTTGAATAAATGCACAATGGATCTTAGTGGCAGCTGGTGAACCTTTCTTACGGGCAGTTACCATAGTGCTGTTGCACTTTGGCTTTGAAGTGGTGCACAGTAAGCACAGCTTAGTACATGGTAGGATTTTGCAAGTAAGGATGGAAACATAGCAGAGCCTCATCACAAGGGGATTATATTCACTCTATTAATTGGTAGACTTGCCTTTCTCATTATCTGGTGTAAACTCTTCTGTGGATTAGGATGCAACAGATTGCATGAAGAAGTATCAGTCTGACTGGAACTCCTGTTCTCAGGTCTGCCCGGCAGCTCAGCCCACATGAAACAAGTAACAGCAGGGTCAGAGGAGTAACAAGTAAGCAAGCTTCAAAGGGGTAGGTAGCCTTTTATTCCCCCAACTTGTAGGAATTGAGAGGCATAATTTTTTTTTTATTTTTTTTTTAACTGTTACACCAGAAGTAACCTTCTTGCCTTTCCTTTGAGGCTCATGTAGTCTGTAGAATGCCCTATTTTGCTCTGCTGTGTTACATCTCCCCTACAAGCTTTTGTCTTACTCTTGAACGGTTTCTGGATCTCTTCCATTTTGGTCCTGTAGAGAAAAGCTGTCTTTCCTCTGATTTGGCCTCTCAAGCTGCGTGTCCTTTTTAAATCCCACTTATTCCTGAAAAAAATGGCCTTTTCTGAGATATTTACAGTATCTGAGTCAATATTTCTCTATTTCTTTTTGTAAACAAACCCAGTCATTCACAGTTGAAAATGAGTAATTCAGTTGTTGTACTGTGGGCTTCTCTCAAGGGAAGGCCAGTGATTCTGAAGTGCATTTCCAGTATGACATTCTTTTATGTGAAGCTGAAAATATTTTTTCCATTCAAGTTCTGAAGTCTCCCTTCTCATTTTTGCATAAAACTACCTCTTCAAATATATTGACCACAGTGATTACTTTCTTTTCATATAAAGCTTTTTTTCTTCATTCTTTTCCCAGAGAAGCATCAACCACTAAGTAAGCTGTGGTCTGATTCTCTCACTTTTCCTCCTTGCTCCAGAGGTGCTGAGCTAAGCATGCTGAAATCTGTGTGAATGAGGTCTCAGTGTTGCGGGTGGATCACTGTGCTGGTATAGAGTGTCATGCTTGCTTTGATTGACTGTTTTATTGTTTCTTTCTTTCTTTTCCTGCGTTGATTTGGAATTATATTTTGAAGAATAATCTCTGTTATATATAAAGACTTGTTCTTTGATCCACAGTGCAGTATCTGGATGTCACTGGAACATCTGTCAGACTGATTCTTTCAGGACAGATCAGTTCAGGTTGTCTGGAAGGGTTCCCATTCGCTGTGGCTCAGGCACTGCAAAAACCATGTTGCTTTCAGTACTGTGGATCTCTACTGAACAAACCAGAAGTGAAATGTGCTGGGGAGCTTTCGCTTTTTGTGAATGGCATCTTTCACACCTGGTGATGTGAACCTGTGATGTGGTGATGACATCTGAGGATCTGGTCCTAAGAGCAGTTCTATTGTTAAAGGATCCTAATGTTTTCTGAGCACTTACTTTTACCGTATCTCCTTGCTTTATGAAACACTCAGTTTATGGAAGCAGCTGAAAGATAACTGCGTACTGTGCAAAAGCCGTGCTTATCCTCTGCTGTAATCTGTTACGTTTCTGAAGCATGATACGTTGCCTGAGGGGCACTCTGGGATGGAAGAGGCAACATAAATATAGAATTACTACTTCAAGGGAACAGGGATGAGTGTTGACTCAGTTTCAACACTGGTTCTTTCCTATATACATCACTACTTTGGTTCAAGCCATAGCAAAGATTCAACTGAATCTTTCTGCTAAAGGATTTCAGGCATTTTGAAATACATGGCAAGAGGCAGGGCTTCCAGATGATAGTCTTCATGGAAGAGTCCTCTTCTGTTTTCAATACTGAATGAGTTTCAGAAGCTAGGGTTGCTAAAGATTAAAGAAAGAACACTTGGCCAATTTTACACCAACTCTTTTCCTTTCATGGCTTTTAGTTTGACGGATGAATTTTTTTTGCCAAGCTACCTACTCACACGGGAACCGTGCCATAGCACAATTACAGTTCTGTATATCCTCAGTAACCAGGGTACAACTCCTATTAATCTGAATTCCTTTCCAGGGAGGAGGGGGTTATAAATTAGCCCTGACATCTTGCATAGGTAGGAGAGGTCAGTGCTTTTCTTTCGCTTGCTCTGTTTATTAGTATTATTTTTAATTTTGAAGCTTCATTTGCAGATTGTGCTTTGGTTTGGGAACTTGGTTCTCTCTCTTATTCTCAAGGCATTTTCAGTGTAATCAGGAACTCTCTGGAGATGCTCCAACTCTTGTTCTCTGTCTATATAGAATTTTTCTCATTCTATATGCTTTAAACTTGGTTTAAATTTTCTTCTAAATGAACCTGCAATCTCCCACTAGTAAATTGTCCGGCTCCTTCACTATCTGTAAAGTAGCTGTTCTTGTAACATGAAGTTTTTTGAATGCCTTTCATTTAGACATTGGCCAAGAATGGGCTACTAGTTATTTGGGAATGACCCTTTGAAGTGATGGAGAACTTAATAATATTTAGGGCTTTAAGGTAAACTCCCCAAATGATTTGATTCATCAAGTTGATACCACATTGGAAGTAGTTATCCAGACTGTTCCTAATAGAAGGAGCTAAAGCATGTTGTTTAATCTGAAACTTCTTTTCAACCTGTTGTATGTTTTTTTCCCCCACTTTCATGTTGTTTTCTGAGATTTTTTTTTTTTTTTTACCTTCTTCTTTCTGGGTGATATTAATTTCTCTCCACATTAGTTTTTCTTGATGTTCTGATTTGGATGGTTTGGGGTGAAAAAAAAGGCAAAACAATTACAGTAAAACAGGGAAGTTCTTTGCCCAAATGTTGCTGGTAGGTGTGGATTTCTAGTTTGTAAGTTTTATGTCTAGGTGAGAAACCCAGGACACACTACCATCTGTTCTTCCAATCTCTACGGCAAACGTGGAATTTCCTTTGTTGACCATTTTTTCCCCATTGCTGTCGGAACAGTAAAATGAATTCAAGGCAATTGTGGTCACTTTTTCTGCACGAAAATTTTGTAGCATTACGATAGTGAATCTGAGAAAGCAGAGAATCAAGAAAATACTTACCAGTGGCTTAGGGAAAGAGAGATTCTTCTGGACCTGTCTTATTACCTCAAAATTTAGTTAACTAAGTCTTCATAATCCCTCAAAACCTCTCTGCATGAATACATGTGTATTTGTGCATGGGATTGAGTTAGGAGGCATTAGGAGGCTGACACATGGTGAGCAACTGTCCAATTTGCTTTAATGTTAGAGCATGTATGCCAGGCTGGAGTGAGAAATGCCACTGCTGGCAGCAGGCAGGCAGGCTGCTGGGCTGTGGAGCAGCTGCTTTTACTCTGCATGGTTCTTATTCAAATAAGAATGCATAGGATATCAGGGCAAAACCCTGGATATTACTTCGTGATTATTACATAATTCCTTGTGAAGTTTGAGTTCATGACCTATTGCAGCCTTATAAAAAAAAAACAAGAAACCCAAACAAAACACTATTCTTTCCTTACAGTCTTCCTCAGTTATCCGGAGAAAACCCTACGTGCCCCATAAGAGTACTGCCACATCACAAGCCAACCTGATGGCGTCCTCTACTGCTGTGCCTGTAGGATTTCACTATGAAACAAAATACGTAGTTCTCAGCTACCTGGGACTTTTGTCACAAGAGAAGCCACAGGAGCATCCTCCTCCTTCAACACAAGGTAATATTCAAGGCACATTCACCTGTACCTATTTACTGTATTTGCAATTAGTTCTTCAGCTGTTTGTGCATGAGTGCAGGATGTTTAGTGTAATGATGTTTAGTGTAATGTGTCTCATTCATTTAAAATAATGGGAAGAGATGCTGACAGAAACAAAGCTGTTTGTATTTAAATTACTGTTTTAATTTGAGCTATGCCAGGACTGATTGGTGTTTATGAAGCAAGTAGGTGAGTTTTGTTGCTGTTTTGAGGTGAGGAGGGGTGGATATATGTTATCTTTTTTGAGCCACATTGAGAATTTGAGCCCACGCTTGCTTATTTTTGGGCAGAAAGTGGAAGTAAGTAAGGGGAAGGTGGTGTTTACAGGCATAAATTCTGGATGGTGACTTGGACAATCTCATGTGCTAAATAGTTTTGTCCTATTAAGTTAATGCTTCTGTTGTTGTCAGTCAGGGGCAGTGCAGAGATGTGAGGCTTAACCTGGCCTATGCTGCATCTATTTATTTGTTTATTTTTAAGAAGTCAAGGACTGTCTGAAGTCAAATAGTCAGATGTTTCTTCCAGAACAGGTTTACGCATGCAGGAGGTCAAATAAATAAATAGAAGGCAGAATAAATTAAGTTTGTTAGGTTGTGTTTCACATAAACTTAGGTAGTAAAACTTGATTTTGTGATGGCAAGCACTTAAACAATGTTTGTCAAGATTGTTTGGGTGACTTGTCACTCTTAATGATGTTTCAGTCACTACTGTTTCCTGTGATTCAGAACTTGCTCTTATGAAAGGTGTATTTAAAAAAGCAAACAAAGACAGTCTTCGGAATCTTTTTTTCGAACAAGTGTTTAAGAATGCATACTCTGTCATTTACTGATCTGCCATGAAATGAGAAGTTCCTGAAAAGGAAAGATAGCATCAAAGTTATGACAGAAATTATTTTATCAGTTTGGCACTAAAGCATATAGCATATGCTAGTTATATATCATTTATAAAATTCATCTTAGTATATTTAAGATATGTATATTAATTCCAGTTTGACTGCATCTGTGGTCCACCAAAGGAGAGGCACTGTAGTCCAAAAATGCTGTTTCATAAAACCCTTTATTGGAAAATGTGTATATTTTAGCAATAACATCTCATTCTGAATATCCCATCTGGGCTAACTGGGCTTTACCTAGAAATGTTTAAATTAACTAGTTTAGCTGATGAATGTAGCTGCTAAGCCGCTGTCCATCATATTTAAAAAATTATGGCAGTCAGGTGAAGTTCCTGATGACTGGAAAAGGGGAAATATAACCCCCATTTTCAAGAAGAGGAATACGGAAGACCCAGGGAATTACAGACCTGTCAGTCTCACCTCTGTGCCTGGCAAAGTTGTGGAGCAGATTCTCCTGGAAGGCATGCTAAAGCACATGAAAAACAACAAGGTGCTTGGTGACAGCCAGCATGGCTTCACTAAGGGGAAATCCTGCCTGATCAATTTGGTGGCCTTCTATGGTGGGGCTACAGAACTGATGGACAGGGGTAGAGCAGTTGATGTCATCTACCTGGATTTGTGCAATGCATTCAACACTGTCCCAAACAACAACCTTGTCTCTAAATTGGAGAGACATCAGTTTGATGAATGGACCACCCGGTTGATAAAGAATTGTCTGGATGGCTGGATGCAGAGAGCTGTAGTCAATGGCTCAGTGTTCAACTGGAGACAGGTAATGAGTGATGTCCCTTAGGGATTGGTGTTGGAACCAGTCCTGTTCAACAACTTTGTCAGAAACATGGACAGTGGGATTGATGCACCCTCAGCAAGTGTACTGTGTACAGTTTTGGTGTTCTCAACATAAGAAGGACATGGATCTGTTTAGCAAGTCCAGATGAGGGTCATGAGGGTGATCATGGGGCTGGATCACCTCCTATATGAAGACAGGCTGAGAAAGTTGGGGCTGTTCAGCGTGGAGAAGAGAAGGCTGTGTGGAGACCTCATAGCAGCTTTCCAGTATCTGGAGGGAGCCTACAAGGATGCTGGAGGGAGTTCATCAGGGACTGTAGCAGCAGTATTAGGGGAAATGGATATAAACTTAAACAGGGGAAGTTCAGGTTAGATATAAGGAAGAACTTCTTTACTGTGAGGGTGGGTAGGCACTGGAAAGGGTTGCCCAAAGAAGTGGTGAATGCTCCATCCCTGGCAGTGTTCAAGGCCAAGCTGGACAGAGTCTTGGGCGACATGGTCCAGTGTGAGGCATTCCTGCCGATGGCAAGGGAGTTGGAACTGGACTATCTTAAGGCCCTTTCCAACCCAAACCATTCTATGATTTTATGTCTTGAATATATATAAAGTTACAATGTGCAAGAGTCTGCTTTGTTCTGTAAATACAAGATTCAGGAAAAGTTGGGTTTATTTAATAACTTGGCAATTGAGGGGAAACTTTTCAACTGATTCTTATTACTGAAATGTCAAAGAAATATTTGAATTAAAGACCAATATTTAAACTTTATAAAGAGTAGGCTACGAATGCTTAAATAAAAATTTTTAGTCAGTTAAGAGGACTTTTAAGCTCCTGAATAAAGATAACTGCCAAGTCTACTTTTGAGATATTATTTAAATGTTAGCTTGTGTGACAATAGGCTGTAGTTGGATTTGCTATTAAAATACTTCAGTATTAAAATAGCATTGATACTTCCCAAATCTGTTCTTCATCCTTGTTGCTCTAAACCTTCACTCATAAATTTTAAATTCTCCTCCGTTTCCCTCACCCTCACTCCCCAAACCAGGCAGTGACCACAGCTTCTCCTATCCTGGTCATCTTTTACTGTAATTAGATCTTTCTTTTAGTGCTTTTACTGCTTTCTGTTCAAAACCTCTGGATAAAATAATTTTCCCTTCCTGTCATCTTGTTTCTCACTCTTTTTTATAATTCCTTGGATGGACTTAAGGCTGTTACTGAACTAAGTGCGAGCACTATCCTTCTGCTTCAGGACTTGTTTAATTGTTTCCTAACACACTTTTCGTGGTGCTTTTTTGCTTTCTGTGCTTTCAACAGCTTTAATTTGTCTGACAGTTACTTTTTAAAAATCCTTTCTCCTACTTATTCTCTCATTGCTTGTAACTGCACAGTTATTTCAGCTGCACTCCCAGGGTGTATGTGTGGTAACAGCTATGTGTTTATTTTGAAGTACCGTATGGGTCTTCTTTGAATATAAAGTAGTTTATATATACAGTCTGTATCTCCTTGTTGTCTGGCAGGTGGCTGATGCCTACTTGTGGAGAGCTGTACCAGCTCTGCCCTATATGCTCAATCTTCTCCCTTAGGGAGACAGTGAGAGAAGCAGCAAGCCCATAATGGATATTACCTGCACTGCCTAATGCACTGCTGGGAGGGAGCTGGGTATTACAGTAACAAGTGTGGTCTGAGAAACCTGGTTAGAACAAAGGAGATGTGAAAGCCAGTAAATGAGAATGAATACTTGTTGTGTAGAATCCCATCATGAGGAGGGAAGCAGTGGTATTTGGTAATGAAGACATATGAGGGATAATAACAGTATGACATTACATCATGCTTGTCAGTGTGTTTTTCAAGTGCTGTCATCAATCCTTGATACAATATCTTGATGGATCCCCAGTTCTTCCGTTGGTGATTTTTGTGGCACTTTAAACTGCTGGTCCATGGCTGAATGCTGTTTATTTATGAATTGAGAGAATTCTGATACAAAGTAACTGTCACTTAATCTTACTTTGCTATAATTTGGTTATTGTGCTGACAGAACCTTTAATAGGAAACAGTGGGAGCAGTGATTTTTTGATTACTACCTATTTCTATTTCAGTTGCAGAACATTTCTCTATTTTATGCGTTTCCTTCATATTGACTCTGGTGTATGGTACTTTCTCTTCATGTATTTTTCTTAGGTCCAAATAAATCCTTACTCCTTGTTTAATTTCTGTGTCATATTACAGTATAAGGGGAGGATCCAGAAAACCTAGTTTTAGTTTGCTGTCATAATCATACAATAGAATGGTTTGGTTTCGAAGGGACTTTAGCAGTCATCCCGTTCCAATCCCCTGCCATGGGTAGGGACACCTTCCACTAGACCAGGTTTCTCAAAGCCCCATCCAACCTGGCCTTGAACACTTCCAGGGATGGGGCAGCCACAGTTTCTCTGGGCAACCTGTGCCAGGGCCTCACCACCCTCGCAGTGAAAAATTTTTCCTATATCTAATCTAAATATTCCCTCTGACAGCTTAAAGCCATCACCCCTTGTCCTTTCACTACATGCCCTTGTAGTGATGTTAACGTCTTTACTCTTTCAGTACTAGAGAGCGAGGGACTCCTCTAGAGGGCAGTTCAGAGCAGGATCCTATTTCCAGCCACTTTGTATCACTTGCTGGAGGATCTATCTTTTTATTGCATGAGCACAGAACACGGCATGATAGGTGTAGTTGGTATTTCTGTACCTCCAGTGAGTATCCTTCTACAGTGCTCTCCCAGATTCCAGTGCAGTTAAACTAGAAAGTGTACCTGACAGCTAAAAAAAGCCGCCAAAAAGCCTTCTTCCCTGACAGGAGTGGTATTATTTTATCTCTACTAGAAGCGGTGGGAGAAATTGAATGGTTTTGTCCATTGCCCTCCTTTTCCTCCTACAGTCATCTCCCACAAACCTCTGTTTTCCTACATTTTGTACTAGAGAGTTCTCCTTCTGATCTATGTATTTTTGTTCCAAACATTCAGATAAGAGTAACTATTGAAGATATTTGCTAGTTTTCAAGTTAAAGCTTATAATATTTTTCTTTTATTTTAGAAATAATATGCTTTATGAGCCTGGTGGTTTTCAGAGGAACTTTCTTTAGTAAAGAGACAGCTCAGGCAAATTATATAGAAAATTACCTCAGTGTATTGCAAGAGAAATGGCTTTAATTACAAAAGCTCAAACCACTTATAGCTTCAAGCAAAGAAGGCTGATCTAAGTCAACATCTGATCACTACTTTGATATTTTTATTAGATAGCTTCTCTT